ATACATAATAAATAAACACAGTACACATACATATATTATGTAAACAAAACTTTTATTTTGGATGCGATTAATTAATTTTGTGCACAGTTACAAAATATGAGATAATATTAAATCTAGATTTATGCTGTCTTTAAAAAAGACATGATCTCTCACAGCATCACACAACTCATTTACTATCTACCGCTCACATTTCACAGCAGGTGAGAGAGAACTGACAGGTCGCTGAGTTTGCATCAGGACACCCCTTGGGGTTTAGGGGCTCAGTCTTGACTGTATTGATCAGTATCAGGCCTGGGGCAAAACATCTGCCTGGGTCAATATGCTGAATTCAAAGTTAAAAACAGACACGGTTTGACTTCTAAACACACATATGACTGCATGCAATCAGTCAAACAAGCATGTAACTAATTTGAAGATGTAATACATCCAGACAATCACGCCACACCCTCACAGAGGGCGGCCACTTCCCCTGCTGTCTTCCACTGATCTTTAATTAAACATACTGAAGAGTGGATTAAATTACCAGCAGGATGAGACGCAGACACTGAGACTTTATTACAGCAGACAGCCAACAAAGAGCTCAGCATCTCTGAACATAATCAACTGAGACACACAACACCACAAAAAAACACAGCCAGCTCACAGGCTAATGTCAGGACACTTAAACACAATCACATCTGTGACTGATGCGACACCATAAACTCTGAAGGATGACTGTGGCACAAGAACAATTCCAATTATGCCAGCTTGAGTATGCTTGCAAACAGAACAAGTAAATATGTCAGTGGATTATGGGATACATGCAAAGTGAATGTGTTTCAAACAAGAGAGTTGAAAGTGAAATTTCATCTTACCTTTCCGAAATCTCGAACGTCAAATAAATCGAAAGCCTCAAACAGCTCGCTCTTCTTCATGCCGAATATCTCTGAGCAGGCGTGCAAAAATGTCCTGATGTTCTTCAAGCAGAGAAACTAAACAGAAATAAAAGGCATATTTTATATTAAAGAAGAATATTTAATATTTAACTCATTTTTAATATTAATATTCACATTGAAGTATCATTTGTGTTCACAACACTTGATTTATTTAACAAAAATATTATTTGAAGATACTTTTTATGAATAGTTTATAATTACATGCTCATATAAGGTTCACACATTGTCATTTACATGCTCATGAAAAATATTTTTAAGCAGAAAATAATTTTAAAAAATGGTTTGATTTTTTATTACACCAAATCTGTCATGATTAAGTCATACAGTATATCCCATTTACACTATATTAATACAAAAACATTAGTTTTAATGAAAACTGGATTCTTCCCCATCTTAGAAATTATTTCAATAATCAAACATACTGTAATTATAATTACTTTAAATAACATAAAGAAGAGAAAGGGACATCACTTGAGTTTTGAGAAGCCACATTTGCAAGTTAGCAAAACTTCTACATTCTTTGAAAAAATTGCTTACAATTATATACTAATTATTATATAATACTGATTGTATAATGTAATATAATTATATAATACTACATAATATATGACTTATATTATGCAACAGAGATGAGACAAACTATAGGAGCGAGGTGAGCCGCCTGGCCGGGTGGTGCAGTGACAACAATCTCTCTCTGAATGTGGAGAAGACGAAGGAGA